AAGCATCTTCAACATATTGTTTGTTTATTCATTCTTGGTCTCTTTTGTTGTTACTCAAAGAAAAGTGATTTTATAGTCTTCTAGTTGGTTATCAGCAATCCACACCGTTTGCTAAAACATGGAGAGCAAGTGGGAAACATATAAAGATGGCTGGCATCCAGTTTCACCACTGCTGGGGTGTGTGTGTGTCAGGTCCTGCAGGTCCATACCGGAATATTATAATGAGCTGTCTGCCCAGGCCATAGTGAGCTTGAAGTTCAGCCTTCTGGTCTCACTGGTCCCTGTGTTCTGAGTGGAACACCATGTGGCCATCATCCAAGGCATCATCCACAACAGTTTCACTGCCCTCTGACCCCCACCCCGTATTTTCCATCACAAAGGATGAGGGTTCATATCTTTCTCTAATGTGGGATCTCACTATGTTGCTCAGGATAGACTTGAACTTGGGAATCTGCAGCTCTGTCCTCCTGACTACTGAGGTTACAGGGATCTGTCCAGCTGTAACAACCTGCATTATCAGTCAGTTGCCATCTCCAGTAATGTGGAGTGTTGACTTTTACCAAGGATGGATCACCATGAGGGAGGAGTCCTCTCCCTGCCCAGCATTGGTGGATGTTCATCAGGGCAGGTCGTCATCAAATGTGATCCAAGTCCTAGGAGGCTGACACAGAAGATGAAGAGTTTGAGGCCAGGCTGGGTCTACATGATGAGACCCTGTCTCTAAAAACAAGTGTGCAGGCACTAGCAGCCCCACCCCCCTCTCTCTCACACATACACCCTGAATCACTGTTGGAATCTCTGCAGAGAGCAAGACATGTAAGTTTGTGGAAATAACTGGAACATTGACCCTGTCCATGGTTATGGCCTGCAAACATAGGTGACTTTATAAGGGTCCTGAGTAGTTCTGGGGGAGGGCAGAGGTGATAATACTTTAAAATATTTTATTATATTATTTTATGTGTGTGTGAACAGCCACTGGAATGTGGGCAACCTGCCATCCCAATGTCCAATGTCTCAGTCACACTCTGGAGCCAGCAGCCTTGGGCCAGGACCCATCCTAATGGCCATCATTTAGCACAACCTCATTTTTTATAAGATTTCTCCGCAGCCTGAGAGTTAGACCTCAGTCTCTTTTGGCGAAAGGCAGACATGTCCCAGCTCCTCTGTCCCTCTCTGGACCTTTGCAGGCTGGCAGCCCTGGACCCGGCTGATCCCATAGGAAGTGTGGGTGCTAGGAAATGGGTGAGCAGGGAGGCAGCGTGAGCTAGCTGCTCTAAAACATGGAACAGATCCCCAGGGGCTCCCAGGCCCATGATGTACCCACAGCATTGCTTCCCCCCATCTTTCACCCTAAACCTTGTGCACAGCTCTGAACCCCCTTAGTTCCTTCCCCAGCTAAAGTGACCATGGCAGACCAAGGAAGTCTGGTTTCTAATGTGGGCTCGGTCCTTGTAAAAAGTAAGAAAGTTTATTTTTTATTTTTAGTTTTTTTTTTTTTTTAGTTTTGTTTTTTTAAATACAAATTAGGGGTGGAAACTCCGGCCTCTCACAGTAAAAGGGTTCAAAACCTTAAGTGAGAGAGTGGAATTCATATGGTGTAGTTGTTTTGTTTAGTTTTTTTTTTTTTTCACTTTGGTCTTCAGGGGCCCATCACCCAGCTCACAAATAAACACACATTCATGCTTATGAATGCCTGGCCTTAGCTTGACTTGTTTCCAGCCAGCTTTTCTAAATTAAATTATCCCATCTACCTTTTACCTTGGGGCTTTGATCTTTCTCTATTTTGTATACCTTTCTTTACTTCTTACCTCTGTGACTGGCTTTTTTGCTGGGTGGTTGGCCCCAGGCTTCCTCTTCTCCTTGCTCCTCCCTCTGTTTTTCTCCTTCTATTTACTCTCTCTTCCAGCAAGCCCCACCTATCCCCTCCTGCCTCGCTATTGGCCTTTCGGCCTTTTATTAGACCAATCAGGTGTTTCAGACAGGTACAGTAACACAGTTTCACAAAGGTAAACAAATGCAATGTAAAAGAATTAACACATCTTTGCATCATTAAGCATTCCACAGCACAAACAAATGTAATATATCTTTAACTAATATTGCACAACAATCTGTGCTGAAAGATCCTAAGAAAGGGAAAATAAAATCCATGTTGATTAATTTTTAAAAAGAAAGAGAGAGAGTGACAGTAACAGAGAGAAAGAATGTTCTGGCAGACTTGAGACAGCAGGTCCGGGCAGGGCAACACAATATACCCTGCAAATGCTTCCTTCCAAAGCGGCCACTTGGGTTCATCCCTCCTTTGCATCTCACTAGACTCACAAGACCTCTGGCCACAGTCCCTTATTCCCAGTAGCTGGAAAGCAAAGAGAGGTCCCTGCAGTACCCGAGTTTCATGGAATAGCAGGCAGGGATCCGGGGCCTACAGCATGAGCCAGCTCAGCTGTCCCAGGACTTGAGAGTGTCCTTGTTGTTGGTGTGCCTGGTTTTTGTTTTGTTTAAATTTTTACTCATTTTCCCCTCAAAGCAGGAATAACTCAGTGTCAGTGGTCCCTTTATGGAGAAAATTAAAATGGGACCAACTTCTGGAAGGGGCATGGTTCCAATTAGGATGTAAAGTATGTAAGACCACACTGTTTATATTTCCCGGCTATTGGTCACTCATTATATGGGAGAAGCTCTCTCCTGCTCATCTAATCAACACTGCAAGGAATGCTTATCTTTCATGGTAGGTGAACTGAATGAGCAAGATTTAAAATCTTGACACATATCATTGGGTATGCTCTGATCTGTTTGTCACTACTAGAGGGTCAGCCCTGCTCTATAAATGGCTTTCTGGAAACTCCAGGTTGAATGTTTAGGAAATATGGCACCTAAAGTGGACCAGGTTGTTATCTTATTCAATAATGTTGCTGCTAAAGCTGTAGCTCAGAAATAATCCCTTACTAATAAAGAGCCTACAGAAAGTATCGTTCCACAAAATAAAATGCAAGTTGATTATAGGTGCACACAAATAATTGACAGATCCAACTAGCATGATACTCCAGGTCTGTAATAGTCACTACCAAAAAAATCTTTTGAAGATTAAAAAAAATACTCCATGGGTATTGTCTAAAGTTACATCTAAAAATCCTATAGAAATTGCCGTTTAATGCTTTTGTTCATGGCTCTTTAAAAGGAGAAGGAGAATCTATTTTATACACAAATTCCACATTATACCCACTGTGGATTGTACAGTTATAGAGTTAACTTGTATTGGATAGTCAGCTTGTATTGGATAGTTCTCAGTTATTGGAGTTTTAGCTGACTAGTGTATAAATTAACACACGAGGATAGAGATATCTCTCTGCTCTATGTAAACTCTGTATCTCAAGATTCAAGTTGTTTGGGGATGGTCAAACAGCATTTAGTGAAAATAGTTCTTAATTGGTCTAAATAATAAAAAGTCAGAGTCAGATAGGGAGGGAAATGCTGAGAGATCAGAGAGAAGGAGCAAGCCACAGCACACTTTACCTCCTTAGCATGTCAGCACACAAGAGAGAGATTTCCTGTTTCTCCCTGCTTCTATACTGTTTCTGCCCAGCTACCTCACTTCCTGTCTGTCTGTACAGACCTCCAGACCCCTATGGTTAGCTAGTGGTAAGCTCCATTCTCTGATCCTCAGGCAGGCTTTATTTGTACAAGCAAGATATCACCACATTTTAGCTTAAAACTTATAAAAAAAGGCTGATCATGAAATTGTACATATTTAATTTTGATTTGCTACAGTATACTACATGCATGGTTTGACTCTTGTTCAGAAGAATGGGAAGCTGGGTATTGTGTGTGTGTGTGTGTGTGTGTGTGTGTGTGTGTGTGTGTGTGTGCACACCTTTAATCCCAGCATTAAGGAAGCAGAGAGAAACCCTGTCTCGAAACAACCCCCAAAAAAGAAGAAAAACAAGAAGAAAGAGGAGGAGGAGGAAGAGGAGGAGGAGGAGGATTGGTGTACTACATCATATAGCATAAAATTGATGTTTTCAAATGGCAGCCACAAGGCTGCATCTATCTTTGCCGATGCTTCTTCAGGATGAAAAGGACCATGTGCCTGGCAGCCATCTTTACTAGGGATAAAGAGCACATGCCATGGATCCTCACCACCATCTTCATCCAAGTGACACTTTGTATAAAGCCTTCGGTTATTATTGTATTTCCTTTTAGACTATGAAGGCAACCACAGGTCTCCCAGGATATTTTGAATTAGGGCGGAATTTTTTATGATGTTAAATTCCCAAGGTTATAAAGGTACACTCAGGTTAACACAAGCTAATTTAGAGATGTCTGTCTGAGTTCTTATGTCTCTGGCAACACCAGGCTTCTAGAAAGTTTTAAATAAGTAACAACATAGGGTGGATAAATAAAGTCTAAATTGCTAATGTCTATTCCAGCTAACAGAAACTAACTTAAAGATAATATGTCTGACTTCTTTGTATCTGTGACTATATTAAAATTATATATTTTGACTGATTTAAAGTTTTATTTTGATGCTTCAATTCAATTGTTTTGGGCTCAAACTTAACAAGAAAAAAGAAACTATGCAATCCTAACCTTATAAAAGCTACTAACTAGTTGTACACTGTTAAAGATAATTAAGACATAAAAGTTAATGGTCAGTCATCCATGTAGGGTGTGTACTAAGTGCTTAGTAAATACACACAGTTGAACCATGAACACACACACACACACACACACACACACACACACACACACACACACACACCTATACCTCTATGGCTCGTCTCTCACACCTGCAAGGCATTTAGTGTGGGAATTCACTCCACCAATAATCTTGGGGGACTGGTTTTAGGGTGTATCTTCTGTGTTTAGAGGTGATTTCTTACAAGAAAGGCAAGGGGTCTCTCTTGCTCTTGTATGGTAGTTGATGATATGATCACAGCTTCCATTGACCCCAGGGCAGAAGGGAAGACCACAGCCCCTATAGACCTTCTTGTTATTCGAGAGTGTTCCCCAAGAAATATTTGATTTCCTTTTATTCAAATTCTCATAGCTTCACATACCCTCCACTACAGGCATCTGCTGTAGTTGATCAACACTGGACAGAACCCTCCAACAAATACACAGACAGAAGTCAAGCTCGAGTTCTCCCCTCCCCTTCTGAATCTCTTGTCCCCTGAGAACACTGTCAGAGGATAAGGAAGGTGAAGCAGGCTGACTGTGATGGGGCAGGATGGAAGGGTGTGGGGGCAGGGGTCAAAAGCCTGGAGTCTGACCCCAGGTTGGACACTCCCTCACTGGGGCCTTGGGCAGAGTACCTCTTCTATAAGAGGTACTTAAGAGTGTAGGGCCTTGCACAGAGACACCTGCTCCCTTGGGCAGTATCCTGCCCTCTCTGATCAAGGCCTGCACAGAGGAGCACATCCCCTGACTCCAGAGCCTTCTGGACAACCGCTGCTGTGCTCACAGGAGGATGTAAAGTTCAGTCCATCTGAGGATGGAGGGAAGGCAGGGCACATCAGGCCTACACTACAGTCATCCCAGCACTAAGGCAGGAGGATGGTGAACTCCAGACTAGCCTGTGCTATGAAGAAGAAGAGCTTGAAACAATAGAAACAGACAAAACAAAAATATACAGAGATTAAGAAAAGTATAATTCTCCTGGTTCTCCTGATGTGGCACGCCAACCTCCGTCTGCAATAGAAAACACAAACATGTCAGGAGCCCGAATGTCTACTTGGAAGGGGACACAAATGAGCTCTGAGAGTGGGCACCATGATGACACCAGAGACCCTCAGAAGAAGGACAGCACATCCCCACGCTGGGAAGATGGCCATTAGAGCATTTTTGGGGAGCTTGGCAGGTTGAAGGTGAATGTAGCCCCACCAGAGGTCTCCTCATTTAGTAACAGATCTGCCAAACGGAAGACAGGGCCAAGCAACCTGTCTGCAGCATGACAGCACTAAGGGCCACAGCAGCCACAGCTGCCTCCCTCCTGGGTCCCTTTTCTCTTCTTCCTGACCTTCTGATGTTTGCTTCCCTCATCCCTGCACCCATATTATGGCCATCCTGAGTCCACACATGACAAGATCTGTTCTCTAACATCAGAAAGTCCCATGTCCCAGGAGAGGAAAAAATCCAAGTGCAGGTCTCTCTGGGCCTCTTTGCCTGTGACACAGCCCCTCCCCCCAGTCCCATTGACTACATGATGATGAGACAGGAAAATGGGTTCCTACATGGACCTGAGCACTGGCTTCAGAGCCCACAGGAATCCCAGCCCCCCTCTCCTTAGCTGAGCATCCCTGAGCCAGTGGCTTCAGTTTTCTTAGTGTGTGTGTGTGTGTGTGTGTGTGTGTGTGTGTGTGTGTGTGTGTGTGTGTGTGTGTGTTTCTGTGTTCATGTGTATTTGCATGTGTATATATGTTTGTGTATGTATACACGTGTGTGTTTGTATATGCAATCACAGATAACAATATACTTCTCATGTGCTGTCCACATGGCATTTTGAGTAGTGCTAGACTGGAGATCACCAACTAGGCTATGCTCCCTCATCAGGGAGCCCAGGGGTCCTGTCATTCCTGCTTCCCAAAATTGGAATATCAAGTGCACATCTCCTTGTGTGGCTTATTTACATGGTTCCAAGATGATATCAGGCTCTTTATCCTTACATATGTGTCGAGTTTTATTGACTGAGACATATCCCCAGTCTGAGCCTCTTGTCTCATCAGAGAGAGACAATTAGTACAACTTGTAGAGTCCTAGTGAGGTCCAGTGAGTCACTGTATGGTAAGAACACAGGATGAGCATGTGTGCAGATCTGATGAGTTACTGTATGATAAAAAACAGGACGAGCATGTATGAAGATCTAGTGACTTACTGTATAATAGAGAAGACAGGGTGAGCATGTGTGAGCATCCAGTGAATGACTGCATGATAAAGAAAATGACCTTGTATGGGGATCCAGTGAGTCACTGTGTGATAAAGAACACAGGATAATCATAAACACCACAGGACAGAGCCTGAACACAAAGCAGACACTCAGGGCGGAGACTGCCATTCCCTAGGACACTGAGTGACAGGGAATCTGTGGGGGTGATGTGACAATCTGGTCACAATGACTGTAAAGCAAGCAGTGTAGCAAGACAACCTACAATACTGGACACCTTTGGAAAGACCACATTTTTGTTTGAATATTCTTGAAATTGATGGAGTGACCAAAGCTGTGTGCAAGGGGACAGGATGATGACAAGGTCTCACCGGCACATCCCAGGAGCGCACTGGGGAACCATCTACGTTTTTAAAGCATGGGTATTGCAGCCAGGCCAGAGCCTCCTTTGACAGCAGCCACCAGCCGTCTGAGTTCAAACCAGCCACATTCCTTGTTGGGTCAGCTGGATCCAGGATCACAGGCCTGCAGAACAACATTCAGAGAGGAAAGTGACCAGCTGACCAGTGCCCCAGGTGCCACTGCACAGACAGTAGAGGAGCCCAGCAGAGCACCCCTATCCAAATTTTGTCCTGAGTCACTGCACTTCAGCATAGAGCAAGCCTTGAGGGATGCTTGCCCATGACCTGGAAGGCTTGGGGTCCAATCCTCTAGCCTTTAGTAGCTGTGTGTTCTGGGGCAGGTCCCTCAGCCTTTCTGATCTGAGAGATGAGAAGTCTCAAAAGATGGGGCATGATGGCTGAAGACAACACACAGGAACAAGACATGTCCTTACCTCAGGTTACAATTTTACTGCATTGTCTAGCACTGGTCTTCTGTGCCTTACAGCCATTATGACTTCTGTTATTACTGGATGATTCAGTGCCCACTCCATGGACCCCCCTCCCTCTACTGTTTGGGTCTGGACAAGGTCAGAGCCTTGGTCTCCTCATCTACAGATAGGAAAGCCTACCCCTGCCTCCTAGGGCTGGTGGTCTTCATGCCAACCAGGTGACAGCAGGGCAGTGCCCAGCACAGTGACAGGACAGAAGATGCTCCATTGCACTGAGCTCCCACCTCCCCATTTCCACTCTGCTGCAGCCTGGTCCTCCCTGTGGGGATCTGAGCCATGAGGGGACAGACTACCTGGCTCTGCGGAGCTGATTGTGCAGGTAGTTGGAGACATATTGGTATTGAAAGTCATAATACACTGTCCAGTAGATTCGAAGCTGCCTGTGCATCATGACCAGTTCCAAGACTGTCCTGAAGCCCCGAGATATTTTGAACTCAGGGAATCCACTCCCATGTTCCCAGGCATAGACGGTGAGCAGCTCCAGGGCATACTGTGGGGGCAGAGGCTTCCCCAGCTTCTCTTTACACTGAGAAGAGAAAGGCAATAAGAAAAATGGGGCTGTCAGCTGTTGTGTGGGGGCCACTTACCATGGGGACAATACAGCTGCCACCTGAAGTCAATACAGGTTTACTGGCACACAGCCACACCCATTCATGTAGATTCTTTCTATGGATGCTCCTGTGCTATAGCCAAGGACTGAGTGATTGAGATGGAGACTGTGTGGTCCAAGACTGAGCATTTATCAGCAGGCACAAGAAGAATCATGACACTTGAGTGACAGCCAGGGAGTGAGGGTGGTGTGGGAGAGCAATGATGCTCACTATAGAAGGTTTCATCACAGGCTCTGAGATAACTGGGGAGGGGCTAGGGAGATGGCCCAGTGGGTAAAGTGGCCCCTTCTTTATGCAAGGTGAAAACTAGAACTCAGATCCCCAGCACACAAGAGAATGTCAGGCTTCTGGGGAAGCTGACTCATAAGCACACCCTAAGCGGAAGGAAATGGGGTCCCCAGGGCTATGTGGTGGTCCAGAGCTGCTGATTCAGCACACTGTGGGTTCAAGTGTGAGACCCTGCCTCCATATAAAAGATGGAGAGTGACGGAGGACCTGACATTGCTCTCCGGTTTCCACATGTTTATGTACACACATGCACACACATGCACACACATAGGCATGTGCTCCCAGGAACAGGCACACATATATCAACACCAGATACATCTCACACATATATTAAAAACTCCAGAAATATTGCCAGATGGATGCTTAAGGAAACCATAGCTTGACTCATCAGGAAAATGAAACCCATAGTAATAAGCAGTACATGTTTGAAAAAAAATCTAGAAATCCACTGATAAAATTAGGTGTGATGGTGTACACCTTTCATCCCAGCATTAGGAGACAGATGTGAGCTGAAGGCAAGCCTGGTCTACATTGTGAGTTATAGGACATCAATAGCTACCTAGTAAGATCCTGTCTCAATATAATGCAAGAAAAAAAAAGAGAAAGAGAAAGCCAAAGATGACAATGACACTTGAACACTGAAGTAGATGCAGCTGAAGAGTGAGTAGTTGACTGGAAACTGGACTAGAAGAAATCATTCATAGAAAGCATGGAAATTCCTCCTTCCTCCCAGGTCCTCTCTCTCCCTCCTTCTCCCTCCCACAACATCGCCCTCCCCTGGCTCCCCCTTCACCTCTCAACTCTCTCTCTTCCCACTGCTCCTTCCCTCCCACCTTGCTCCTCATTTTTTCTTCTCATCACCCCTGCCATTCTCCACCCCTTGAACAGACAGGGCCCACAGGGGATGTTAAAACCCATACCAGTTGGTACCAGTGCTTGACCAGGTGGATGAGACTCTTTAGCTTGGGTGGATGTCTCTTCAAGAAGTTTCTTTGGAGTTCTGTGAAGCAGATGGAGAACTCGCCCTCCATCTTCTTGGAGGTGCACTCTCTGATGAGGTCAGCATAGATTTGGGGGTGAGGCTTGATGTTGAGTTGACCTGTAAAGAGGCTTTGTTCAGCTAACACCCAGCTCTTCCCTGGGGTTCTTCGGTCTATCTGGGGTGACAAGCTCACAGACTGTGGAGTTCAGTAAACAGGGCAGAGTTTTACCACAGCAAACATCACTCCCCATACATCCATGTGCCCCACCACACCCCAATACAACATACACCATGTGGGCATGGAAAGTCCCTGCCACCAACTGTCCTAGAACAGTGCCTTCCTCACAGGCCTGGAGACAGTGGTGAGAGGAAACAGCTCACTGTGGTCACACACACTAGAGGAGATGCATAGTCATCTAATAATGACCAACCATGCTCTGGTGTCCGGTGTCTTGTGCACAGGGCTTGTCATGTGTGTACACTGCTGCTTGTGTCAGATTTACTGTGGAGCAGTCTGCTGCATTTGTACATCATGTATCCCATGCTTACAGAGTCTCTGCCCTGTGTTTGTATGGTGTATATATTGTTTGTGTGTGTTTAAGAAGAAGTATACATGTATGCTAAGAGGCCAGAGGATGACATAAAGTGTCCCCCTTTATAGTTTGTCACTTTATCCCTTGGCAGGGTGTCTCTGTGAATGTGAATCCTGGTTGGCCACCAGCTGGCCACAGTGATTCTCCTGTCTCTGGACATCTAGACCTGGGTGACAGGTCAATGTGTGGTCCTCTCTGTTTAGGTGGGTGTTGGGTATTTGAACTATGGTCCTTATGCTTGTGCAGCAATTGTCCTTATTCACTGAGCTGTCTCCCCAGTCACTGTGTGTTTTCTCTGGATGACTTTCCATAGCGCCTAACTTAGTACCATGAGGCTTAGTTGGCCTAGTCCTGAGAGCAGCAGTGTGTGTGTGTGTGTGTGTGTGTGTGTGTGTGTGTGTGTGTGTGTGTGTGGGCAGCAGGCTAGGGAATAGATGTGAGTGTGTGTCTGTGTGTAGATGCATGTATACATTTGAGTTAGACTAGGCAGGCAGCAAGCTGTACCTTAGCTGTGTGCATACATGTGGCCATGGTTGGAGCAGGCTACACCATCAGGATTCCATGTTGATACATGGCACAATCACCTACTATGGGTTTGGGAACACACCAAGTCACTCACTCAGTGACCCAGGAGGGTCTCAAGTGCTTATTTTCAACTTCAGAATCCAGCACATAGTAGGGCTCATTGGCTAAGTCATCTTGGGTAGGGTTGTGACTGGGGTCCTCTCTTGGGCTGTCCCCCACACTGCCATTTCCAAGGTGGTCCTTCTGAGGTGGCTCCACTTCCCCACTGCAAAGCTGCCTGAGGCTGGGGAGTCCATGACAACACAGGCTTCTGGGGAGCCGCCCTCCCAGCTCATTCCTGGGTCACCCCCTCTGGGTCCCCTCCACTCTGCAGGGGTCTAACCCTCTTGCAGCTTCCCACAGCATGCTGCCTGCTCCTGCTCCCAGGCTGGCCTCCCATTCCCTGCTGCCTGAGACTCTGTTCCCATGGCTCTCCTAAGCCCAGGGCAAGTGGCCTGGTCTCCAAATTAATGGTTTAGTTTACGCAGTGGCCAACAAGGGGTGCTGTGTCCCCCTAATATAAAGCCCAACTATTCTCTCAGCTTTCAGAAGTGTTCCTAGTTGTTTCTAGGTAGAGTTGGGCAATTTGTAATTTTGGAACACACACATACACACACACACACACACACACACACACACACACACACACACACACACACACACACACGGAAGACTCAGCACAGGCCTGAAATTTTATTCTCTGTGATAGAATATGCAACAGATGTTAATTTTTAGCTACATCTCTGTCCCACTGTTAGTCACAAAGAAAGCTGGTCACCCTGCGGGTGTTCTGTAGGATGCCCCTGGGACTGGGGAGGTGGCCCCATTAAAGGGATAGATGGGCAAGTATAAGGGCTCAAAAGTGGATTCCTAGCACCCACATAAGAAGCTGCAGGGGCTCCACACCTGAAATCCCAGTGCTGGGGAGGTTGAGACAGGGGGATCCCTCAGGCTCACTATTTGCCAAGATAGATGGATCAGCCAGCTCCAGGACAAAGGTCTACCTATCTCAACACAATCAAACAAACCTGGCTGTTTTGCAGGGAGTGGCAGTTGCCTGAATGAAGTCCTGAATATATTTTACAGCCATAAGTCCTCTCTTACTAACACCTGGTACATGACTAGGCAATTGTCCTGACCCCTGTGCTGTACCTGATACACATGCTGAGGCTCCAGGTTGCTGAGGTTGTATTGCAATTCCATCACAGCACAAACTCCACCCGACCCCACCTGCATGCTGCAGCAGCTATGAAGGTGGGCCAGCAAATTCCAGGTCAGCCTCTCACCAAAAGCAGACTCCTAAGTAACCCACATCCAAGACTGGCCTCTGGTCTTCACCCACACCTGCAAACATGTGCATAGATCTGCACACATGTGAACAACGCCCCCCCCCCACATACACACATAGAGAAAGAAATGGCAGAGAGGTTGAAGACACACGGAAGGGTGAGCTGAGGCTCTGACTGGCTTACCCAGGACATCATAGGCCGGCAGCACATCAAACTCCACCTCCTGCTGATGCTGGAAGGAGCTCAGTTTGAAGCTGAGTGCCCGGATGTTGAACAACCATAAAATGTTTAACCAGCATGCAATATCGGACCACCATGGACTCTGGACCTCAAACTTCACCCATAACTCTCTCTCTTTCTGAAAATTGTAAAGCTGTTTCTTAATTTCCTGGATGAACTCTCCCCGTCGCTTTAACTGATCTTCAAAGCTGGTGAGATTGTTAAGGAACACCACCAAGTCCAGTGTTGAGCCCTTGTCCAAGGAGCCACCCTGGGAGACAAAAATGAGGATGACAGGCAACAGGCAGAGCCACACCAGCAGTCCAGACCCTCAACAGCCTAGGCGTCCACCCCCAGGGAGATGGGTGGATAGAGAAAGCCGGCACATGGGCAGTGGAACACTAGTCAGCCCTGAAGAGTGAGATCAGGAGAGAAAGAGAGAGAGAGAGAGAGAGAGAGAGAGAGAGAGAGAGAGAGAGAGAGAGACTGTCTGTGATAGAACGGTGATGAGGAGCAAGGAAGGGTAATGGGGAAAGACTAAAGAGCACATGTTCTCTCATGTGAGATCTAGGTGCACACAGGTGACATGCCATCAGAGAGACTCTCCAGGGCTGGTCAGTGTCAGGGGTAAAGGGTGGGATGGTCTTGGGCCAAAGCAGACTGTGAGTAAATTAACACAGACACATGAAACTACTGTCATGATCCCATTGTTAGCAGACTGTCAAGGGAATACACCAATAGTACACCACATGCTTGCATGAAGACAGCCTGTGACAGCATTGAAAAGTCACAGAACAAAAGCTTAAATCAAGAGAGTTGAATTAACAAAGAAAAAATTTTTGAGAAAATAATGATGCTGAGAGGAGCCTCCCTAAATAAAATGCTGAGCACACTCACTAACACACTTGCACAGCCCACAGTGTTGAGTTGACATTACAAAATGACATTTAAGTAGCCACCACAGTGACTGAGTTAGGTACTATTGTCAGGAAGTTCCATTTGACAGATGGGGACATGGGCAATGAGGTTGCATCAGTCCAGCCATGCTACAGTTGGGGTCTCTGCTCTGTTCTCTACACTGTGCCCCAGCTGGGATGCACATGAGAACACTAGGCCACAGAGAAGGTAGTTAACTCACTCCCCACTCAGGGCTGCAGCCTGGATCCTCAGGGTCCTCTCCCTCCCCACTGGGGTCAGCTCAGGCTGAGGGGGGGCTCACCTTCACCACCTTGGAGACCCTCACAGGGTGGGTAGTGCCTCGGAAGCATCTCTCCTTCAGGAAATCACATATGATCATGATGGCTGCCTTGACCTCAGTTCGGAAGCTGGTGTTGGGAAGGAGGTGAACCTCTATGAACTTGTCCAGCTCCCAGGCTGGGATCCTGCTGAGTCCCTGCTCCATCCTCAGGGCAGCTGTGTCTTCTGACTACAGCACAGCCTCTGGAGCCAGCTAGATCTTATATTCATAGCTAGTTTCTCTTTCCTGGAAAGGGAGGGGCTATGCAAATTAGGCCTCTCCCTCTGAGGTCTCAGGTTCCTGGGCTCCCTGACACTGGTGTTTCACAGTAGGCTGCGGAGAAGAAGGAATGAAGCATTTTAAACACATTCTCTCTTGTTCTTTTCTTCCTGGTCTTCTGTTGTTAATGAAAGAAAAATGGTTTTATACTCTCCTAGATGTCTAACACACATGTCACTAAAACATGAAGAGCAAGAAAGAAACATCCTAAAGATGACTGACATCCAGTTTCTCCACTGCTGTGGTGGGTCTGAGAGGTGACTGGTCCATACTGGGCCATTATAATGAGCTGTCTGCCTAGGACATGGTGCACTTGAAGTTTCAGCCTTCTGGTCTCACTGGACCCTGTGTTCAGAGATGTACGCCCATGTGGCCATCATCAAGGCACCATACAACGGTTCCACTGTCGTCCAACCTCCACCCCGTCTCTCCGTTACAAAGGATGAAGGGTTCATATATTTCTTTCTGTGGGATCTCACTATATTGTCAGGATTGACATGAACCTGGAAATCTGTATCTTTGTCCTCCTGACTAGTGAGGTTACAGGGATCTGTCACTCTGTCCAGCTGTAACCACCAGCATTATCAGTCAATTGCCAATCTCCAGTAATGTAGCGTGTTGACTTATGCCCAGGCCGGATCACCATGAGGGAGGAGCCTGTCTCCATGCCAACCTCTCCCTGCCCAGCAGGAGTGGATGTTCATCAGGGCAGGTGGTCATCAAATGTGATCCAAGTCCTTGAAGGCTGACACAGAAGATGAGGAGTTTGAGACCAGCCTGGGCTATGTGATGAGACCCTCCCTCATAAACAGAAAAAAACCAAGCACATACAAAAACAGACAGAGAGACAGACACATGCACTCGAATGCATACACACACACACACACACACACACACACACACAATTCCTAAATCACTGTTGGAATCACTGTAGAGAGCAAGGAAGAGAAGACTGAAAAAGCAGTTGAGAAACTGGCTCTGTTCACAAGCCATAGGTGGCTTTAAGTGATTTTCTTTGTAAAGAATCATAAGCAGGAAGCAGTCTATGCTGTGTCATTCAAGGTCAGAGGACCCCAGCAAAGAGCACAGTCTTCAGGGCATGCCTGGTAAAGGGGACTTCTTGGTGGACCCTGATGCTGCCTGAGGGAAATCTTTTACTGAAGGGGTGCCAGATGGGAGGACAGGAGACCAGCTGAGGGTCCTGAGCAGATCCTGGTGAGGGACAAGCTAATTATACTTTAAAATATTCAATTCCATTTATTTCATGTGTGTGAACATGTGTGGTCAAGGACAGCTTGTCGGTGTCTTCTCTCTCTCCTCCACCATGTGAATCCCAGGGATAATGCTCAGGTCACCAGGCTTGACAACCAACACCTGTAGGAGCCATCTCACTGACCCTTTCTGTTGTACAGGGTCTCATAGCCACATAGGCCAGGCTAGCCTTCAACTTACAGCAATCCTCCTGCCTCAGCACCCTGAAAGCTGGAATTATAGTGTGCCACTATGGCCAGCTCATCTGTATTTTCTTCTCCTCCTGTGTCTCAATGATTGTCCCTCACCCAATGAGGCCAATGCCCCGGCAAGCCTGAATGAGCCAGGCAGTGCTCAGGTCACAGGTGTAAAGCCCAAGTCTTTAACCCTCTTGGCCACATGTCGCCAGCTGTTGCTGGGACAATACCTCCTTGGAGGCCCTTTGGAGGAACTGAGCAGCTCTGCAGGAAGTGGCTTGTGCCTCTTTCAAGGCAGTATAGAATGGAATTAAGAATCCTGGCCATTTTGTAAAATAGTCTTTGAAAATTTCATAATACATATTTGATGTATTTTTAACAAATTCACCCTCCCTTTGCCTCTCAACTCATGGTCCTGCCAACTCCTCTCCCAACTTCATGTCACCTCCAGCCAAATGAAGAAGTGGAACATCAAGCAAGACCCTGGGAACAGCCTCTGCAGACACCCAGAGGTGGGATAAAAACCAGAAGCAGAGGCCCTCGGGAAATGGAGGTCATTTCCCTGTCGATCCCAGGGAGATGGCAAAGGGCCCTCCTCATACCCTAGGCCTGTAGGGACAAAGTGTGTAAATATGCATGTGGCAGAGGACAGTGGGGATTAAAGAGCAGAGTGGCTCTGGGTTGGAGACCCAAGGTCAAGACGTCAGCGGACTGGTCCCTTCCAGTGTCACAATGGAGACTGCTCCTGCCTCTGCCTTCTATTGGCTCCTGCTGTCCTCTCCCTGCCTCCTGCCTGACACCACAGCACCCTGAGTGCACAGCTCTGTCCAATGTCTCAGTCACACTCAGACGCCAGCAGCCTCAGGCCAGGACTCATCCTAATGACCATCATTTAGCACAGCCCCATTTCTTAATAAGATTTCCCCGAGGCCTGAGAGTTACACCTCAGTCTCTTCTTGGAGAAAAGCTGGGAAGATGCCAGCTCCTGGTCCCTATCTGGTAATCCTGTACCAGGCTGATCCTACAGGAAGTGTGGGTGCCAGGAGGTAGGAGGGCAGGGTGGCAGCCTGAGCTAACTGCACGAAAACATGGAACAGATCACTAGGGGATTCCAGGCCCAGGATGTGCGCACAGCACTTGCTTCCGCTAGATCTTTACCCCCTAAACCTTTTGCACAGCTCTGAACCCCCTTAGTTCCTTCCTCAGCTTAAGTGACCACAGCAGACCAAGGAAATCTGGTTTCTAATGTGGTCTCAGTCCATGGAGAAGGTGAGTTTAAAAAAATAGATATTATGGGAACAAAACCAGGAACTCTAACAGTAAAGGGTTTGCAACTTTAATTGAGAGAGTGTAATTAATACTGGTTCTTAAAGATCCCATGAAAGGGAAGATTAAAACCCTGTCAATTAATTTTAAAAGAGAGAGAGTGACAGAGACAGAGACAGAGACAGAATGACGTTTCTGGCAGACATGTGCTGGTACGTCAGGTAGGGTGCTGTTACCTGATTTGTGGGGCTTCAGTCGGATCCAGCCTACTTCCCTGTTTGTACCTGAGAGGAGTGTGGATTGAGAAATGAAAGATAAATATGCTAAGAAAAAGCCAGAGACACAGCATAGAGTCAGGAGGGCAATCCAGTGAATACTATTCTTAAATAAGCCCAACCAAAAAGGGGACATGGCAGAAGACTTCCTTATCATGTATAAGGAACAAACAGACTTTCTCCCTTAATTCTCCAAACATTTGGTAACCACACCTTAGACTCAATTTCTTGTTATCTGGCCTTGAAGGTCAAAAGTAACCATATGGAGTCCAGATGTACTTCTCCTTTGTTCCCCTCTGCCCTCTGCTCTGTGCCTGCCATCTGAGGTGAGTCTGGGCACTGCTCTGCCCCCAACCTCCCCCATCACCCCCTCCTCGATTCTTCCTGATCCTCCCCCTGGACAAGAGCGTACCCTCCCAGACAGGAAGGCCCCCCTGCGTCCCGACGCACCTCACTCTTGGTTCCCCCTCTGCTCTCTGCCCTCCGCCTGACACCTGAGAGAGGGAGAGGCCCCACCTGCACCCACTGTAGGAAGGGATGGGAAGATGACAGAATAAGAACACACTCAACAACAGAAAAACCAATATGACACCACCAGGATCTACGGACTCCACACCAGCAAGAACAGAAAAGCCCAATGCAAAGGATGAAGAAGAGATGGACCTTAAAAGTTATTTTATGAAGATGATAGAGACCATTAAAGAGGAAACAAGAAAGTCCCTTAGAGAAATAGAAGAAAAAAAAACAAGCAAAAAATTACATAAAAGGAGGAAAAGACAAACCAAAAAAATTCAAGAAATAAACAAATCTCTTAAAGAACCTAAAGAAAACCAAGAAAAACAACCAAACAAGTGAAGGAAACAATTCAAACAGTTCACAGTTTGAAAGCAGAATTAGAAACAATAAAGAAAACACAGAATGAGGGGATGCTGGAAATAGAAAAGCTGGGTAAACGATCAGGAACCTCTGATGTAAGCATAACCAATAGAATACAAGAGATGGAAGAGAGAATCTCAGGTGTTAAAGACTCATTAGAGGATATATAGTCATTGACCAAAGAAAATCTCAAGTCCAACAAATCCCTAACACAAAATATCCAGGAAATATGGGATACCATGAAAAGACCAAACCTAAAAATAATAGGTATAGAAGAAGGTGAAGAAATACAGCTCAAAGGTACAGAAAGCATTCAACAAAATCATAGAAGAAAACTCCCACAATCAAATGAAGGATATGTCTATGAAAGTACAAGAAGCTTACAGAACACCAAGTAGATTGGACTACAAAAAGAAATCCCCTGGCCATATAATAATCAAAACACCAAACTTACAGAATAAAGAAAAAATATTAAGAGCAGCAAAAGAAAAAGGCCAAGTAAAATATAAATGCACACCTATCCGAATTACACCCGACTTCTCAATGGAAACTTTGAAAGCCAGAAGATCCTGGATAGATGTACTACAAACTCTAAGGGAACAAGGATGTCAGCCCAGACTACTGTATCCAGCAAAGCTTTCAATCACTATAGATGGAGAAAACAAGATATTCCATGACAAAACCAGATTTAAGCATGTTCACAAATCCAGCCCTATAGAAATTACTGGAAGGAAAACTCCAATGCAACAAAGATAACTATGCTCAAAAAAAAAAAAACCATAGGCAATAGATAATCCCACTTTACCAAACACCAAAAAAAAGGTGGTGAAATCCACACACAATAACACCACCACCAACAAATCCAAAACAAACAAGAATGAACAATCAATGGTCATTAATATCCCTCAATGTCAATGGTATTAACTTGCCTATAAAAAGATTCAGGCTAACAGAATGGGTTGAAGACAGAATCCATCCTTCTGCTGCATACAAGAAACACATCTCAAGTTCAAAGACAGACAATCCCTCTGAGTAAAGGGTTGGGAAAAGGCTTTCCAATCAAATGGACCCAAGAAACAAGCTGGT